TTTATTATCATCTTTCAATATTTTATTAGTTATCTTAAAATGTAGATTAAGACAATCATCTAAATTTCTATCACTTATATGCACACAATATCTTGGATAATAAGTAAATTTTTATTTTCCTTAGGCTAAATTTCCTTGACTATTCCTAAATTTCCATGTTCTGCTGTTATACATCTTTCATCATATAAATTAAGCATTATAGGGCTATTAATTTCTTCTTTAAAATATGATTTTATTATTATTTGTATTTCAGTAAGGTAGACATAAGATATTTTACTTCTTTTTTCTTGTTTTAATTTTCCTAAAAATTCATTAATATTTATTTTTGTTATTAGATTTAATTTTATTTTTCCTCATGTATGTTTGATATCTATGACTTTTTCTATTTCGTGATATTCATTAATGACTAATTTTTTTCTTCTAAAGGCTGATTCTACAATATCAAATAATCTATTTTCTCCTGCTGGTTTAAAATTTAATTCTGCTTTATTGATTTTTCCTAATCAAATTTTCCTTTTAGAGCATATCTTTCTATTCCTTCATATACTTCGATTTCTAATTCCATAATGTTTTCAATTTCCATGATCTCTATGACTATGATATCAATTTGGGGGGTAAATAATTATTAACAAAAATTAATTAAAATCAAGTTAAATTTTAAGGACCAAAGTGTAATCTGTTTTATATTAGAATGACTTATTAATTTTTTTTTTATATTGAGGGTGTTTTAGGTAGTTCCTAATGTTAAAATGGTCGAAGGCTTGAATGAAAGGAAAAGGCACTCTTTTATACATTTTCATGTATTTCCCAAATTTATCACCAGATATTTTACAGGTGACCATTTAAGCATCTTATTTCTCAGTGACCAAAACGTAAACAAAATGCAGGGCTCTTCGATTCTCTGTTGTTCTTCAAGCTCGCTCTCACTCTCAGCTCCTAATAGATTTACACTTCTCTCAAGAAGACAGCATGTTAATTCTATTACTATTTCTTCATTTCCCAGTAAATTGGTGTCGACTTCTTTGCATATATACCAATCTACGCACTCCGCTCTTCACTCTACTGGTTATAATTTTATCTGCAAATTATCGCCTTTTCGTCTTTTTTTTTGTTTGGTTATTTTTCTATGGGCATGTTTGATTTTATACATTCTCAAATGGTTGGGTGTTAAAATTTTGTTTAGCTTGCTGATTGAGGAAAGGGAACTCTTGGTAATCAGGCGTAGTAAGGAGTTTGTGGGACTTAGCTATGCTGTTGTTATAGTTTCCAGCCCTTTTGCAGGTGTTAAAAAATGCAATAGGATTGTCAACGTCTTTTTTGTCTTCAAAAATATTTGTTGTTCTTTAGGGGCACCTTATATTTGAGATTCAATTATTTGAAATCATATTATATGGATATTTATTCTTAGTTTTTTTTTTTAATTTAACTTCTGGTTAGCATTAGTAATATCCACATTGCTATTTGTTAATTCCATTATTTGTACAGCCTGTCTGTTCCTTCACTATAAAAGTTGTTCTTTATAAGTTGTAAGGAATGGAGATGTTTCCAAAAGGATTATAATCAGAATAGATTCTCTGGAAAATCAATTCAGAGTCCTTGTTCATGTGAATTTTTTTAACTATGTTTAATTTACACCATGAAGCTGATATTTGTATTTTCATTTGTTGATTCCAAATCTAGCTACTCAAGAGATCGTTGAAACCAGTTCTTCTGATTCAGAATTTGTGGAAGTTGGTTACATTTCTAGTGTTCATGGGCTTCAAGGAGAGGTTCGTGTGAAGCCTATCACTGATTTTCCCCATCTACGCTTTTCCAAGGTAGAAAAACAACAGAGAAGTCATTAAATACTTTATTAAATGTTTGTGGTTCATGATCTCTAAAGGGAGGTTATTATTCTTTCTAGCGAGGAAGACGATGGTTGAGGCAGCAAGTTTCAGGAAATGAGTCCCTTCAAGAAATTGAACTGGTGGAGAGCCGTGGACACCTGGGACAAAGTTGGATATTAAAATTCAACGAAATTGACACAGTGGAACAGGTGGCTTAACGAAGTGATTTAATGCCTAGAGTACAATTTTAAGGGTAGATTCAAGCATGATAATGCTTTATTTTATTTAATAATTCAGGCACAGAAACTCGTAGGGTCAACTATGTTGGTAACGAAAGACGATAGACCTGTGTTAGAGGAAGGCGAGTTCTACACACATGACCTTATTGGAATGACAATTGTTCTTAAGGTTCGTGGATTCCAAGTGTCTTTGTTGTGCTAATAAGGCTAATTACTCTGAAAGAAAAATATATCATTTTTTTGATATTTCTGTTCAGAATTCCATCCATTATATGGCACATGGAAAGAATTTCACAGAATATTTTATTGGATTCTAAAGAAATTATGAAATAAATGCATATTTATTCCTTAGTTTGATCAAGACTGTTGATTCAAATAATGGGAAATCTTCTTTAGAGGTTATGCATTGTTACCAATACAACCAGTTTTAGTATCATTATCATTATGATCATATCATGTTATTTCTTTTGATTAAGGTTCAGTTACCTTCTTCTTTTCATAACGATAGATATTTTTCAACTGTCTTAGGAAACTTGTGAACCAGTGGGTACCGTTATCGAAGTTTTTAACAGTGGAGCAAGCGATCTTCTACGTGTTAGGCTTCATTCCATGAATAATATACCTAACCAAACTGGAAAGTCAAAACTTGAGGCAGGTGCTTCTGGTCCTTTGGTGTGGATACCATTTGTTGAAGCAATTGTTCCAAATGTTGATATGGAGAAAGGAGAAATGTTGATTACTCCTCCTAAGGGTCTACTAGAGTTAAATATTCGCCATGATGAGAGGTCCAAGAAAGAAAGACGTGAGCTGGTAAGGCATACTCTAGCATTGTGTTATTTGTGGGTTAAAGACCTGAATAGTCCACAAATTTTACACTTTGTGCAAAAACCCTCAAATTTTAAAATAGACTTCATTTATCCCTTTAAAGTTAAGGGACTAATGAAGTCCAATTAAAGTTTTGAGGATATTTTTGGCACATGGTGTAACGTTTTGGGACCATTCAGGTTTTCTATGTGCTATTTGCTTATATTAGTTCTTATAGTTTGCTGTTTAACATGTTTCGTCAAATCTATATATTTATACATAATTTTCTTGTTCATGATCTGTAAATTTAGCATGCTTCTGAAAATATCTGTTTTCCACTATAGGAATGGAAAGAAAGAAAAAAGTTCCAAAGACGCCTCATAGCAGCCAAAAAGAAACTGTGTGAGATGGAACAGCAACATTTATTTCATGGGTTTAGACATGGAGAGAAAGATCAGAGGAACTTGCTTGCGAATCAGATAGTAACTGTAAATTCAAAGTTGCTTCAACAGGCTATGCAAAATATTGAGACCCCCTCTACAAGGTAAACTTGTCTGTTATTTATAAGTATGAAACATGCATCAACTTTAATGTGTTTATATAGGATTGTCAGATATATTCATTAATTCAGTCCTTTCAAAATAAAGGTAGGAAACAATTACATGCTAAGCAAGACATTTGGTGTTCTCATTCTTTTATGAACTGGCCATTAGTGGGCTATACTGCTTTGAAGACTACCAGAGTCATCACTTCAGTTAGAGACTGTTAGGCGTCTGTTCCTCTTGATTGTGAAGGAGATTGTGTATCCTGTCCACATGATTACGTGATTGCAGTGGCAATTATCTTAAAAACACTTTTGTGCATGTGTAATCTTGAAGTGATAAGACTTTATATCATATGGATCTGTCATGAAAGAGAAAATGTTAATGTGCTATTATTCATTGCTCTTACTGTTGTTTTAATGTAAAATGTTATCTAAATGAAAACATTTCTAATATAAATTGTTTTTAGTGATGAAAATTTTTCGATTTATTTCTATTGTTTGGTTGAGGTAATAGAATATTTTCCAGCGGACAGTTTATTGGAGGAGCAGACAGTGGGAACAGTGCGTGGAGGCATTCAATGGTGTAGTGGTGCACATAAGAGTTACAGTGGTGTTTTTGTGAAATGACCTGCATAATCAAGATTTAGTCATTCCTTAGATGTCCTAAGTCAGCTGTTTTATAAAAATTTTAGATTGTCCAAATGTCATAGATATGCAATCTCTTCTGGAAAATATTTTACCTTTATAGAAAAGGAGCTTTAAATGTAAGTTTATTTAACCCCTGTTTGAGCCCCATTTTTGTAAGAAATTGTGTTTTGGAATAGCGATTTTTTTGGAGAATGTGTGGTTAAAAATAAGGAAAAGTTTTCGGTTTACGTGTAAAATTATTTTATGGGAGAATGTGTGGTTGAAAACGAGTTTTGAAAAAATGTTTTTTTAAAAAAAGTGGGGCCAAACGTAGGCTTATTTTGTTGCAGCAAGTTTAGTTTGTAAACTCCATACATATGCTATTATTTCTGGAAGATATTTTGCTTTTAAACAAAAGGAGCCTTAAATGCAAGTTTATTTTTATGTTGCAATTTCTGCATCTGTTTAGTTTCATATGCACCATTTTTTCATATATCAATAAAAATACTCTTTTGAAGAATATGAAACAGAACTTCGGCAAAAATGCATTGACTTCTCGTATTCTTGACTTCTGACCCAGGCGGAATCTGCTAGAGATTTTGAATGCTGTACCAGGGAGAAACACACTAAAAGTATCTGCTAATTCTGTTTCTGCTGGAAGCTGGGAGCAGTCTGGCCCATATTCCAAACTGCTAAGGTTGGGTCACCACCTGACATCTCAGGGAAAGATTGCCACCGTATTAGTTTTGAAGGAAGGCATAGAGATCGAAAGGAGTTCTAATCTTAGTCCAGTTAATTCGGAGAGAGACAAGAATGCATGTCTGCTTTTAAAGACGTTTCTAGATGACGACCAGAGATTTATAAAGGTGATCTTTTGACATGCTCTTTCATCGTATGCGGTGCTCAGGAAAAAAAAAAAGAAAATCAGAATATTAAATTGTAAATAAAATGTTCATATTCGAAGAAATTTCTTCTTATTTTTTGATCACCAGTATTTCAACTTAAATAACTTGCATAGGACTTTTATATTTTTGTAGTAATTTTGAGTCATTATTTACTTGGACATAGAGATTTAGTTCTACCCAAGATAGTACTGTTCTAATTGATGCTTTCTCCCTGCATAGAAGTATCAAAAGAATACTTCAGACTACAGAATTCCCATTTTTTTAGTGTTACAAAATATGATTGCCTTGGTAGTCAATTGTGAGATCTGCATATAACCTGAATTATTGGGTTTCTTATTGCAGACAGAAGATAGATCATCTGTGCCTCTGATATTGGTCTGTCAAGCTCATTCAGTTGGTTCTCTGCAAGAACTATTCTCAGTACACGACTACTTTTCTTTTGATTCTGAGAAGGTTAGACACATACTGAATCGAATTATAATCCGCTTTAATAAATTCCATTATTGAAAAATTATATAAATCTGCTGCTCTCCTGAAAACCATGTAGCTCTGGTAAATGAAGCTGAAGTTGCAAAATAAAATTGTAGATTCATCTGTAAAATAAGGAATGGGATGCCTTCACCAGTTTTAGGACCCTGGTCTGGAATAGCCTGATTCTTGGATATTTAAATTTGCAGCTAGCTGCATAATTGGACAAATTATTTTGCCACTTTATATTCCTACCATCGGTGGTAAACCTAGGGGGAGAGGTCGACCCAAACGATACAGAATAGAGGATGTGGGCATTTATTGTTTAACTTTGGATATGGCTATTCATGGAATGGAACAAATAGGAGGATCTATGTAGCCGGCTCTAATAACTGTTAAGTATGGGATATGGCTTGGTTGGTCGGAGTTTTAGTTACCAATCATTAACTATGAGATGTTGAGATGGACGACTAGTTTTTCTGGAAATTTTTGAAATAAGTTTGAACTGAACATATTTAGATCCAAGTTCGTGCATGTGAAAGAGCATCCTGTTTAAGATGAAATGAGGCAAATTGCACAATCTTCATGTGCCAATAGTACACCCATATGAACTTGTATCATGGTTATGCAGTGATATCCTCAAGATTTTGTTAAGATGTCCTTAGAAAAACTAGAGGGAACGAATTTTTTTAAAACTAAGGGAAAATCTCTAATCAATTTCGATTGGATGGAGAAGAAAGCAGCAGAAGGTTCAAAATCCGGTCAATAGATGCAATGCTGATGTCACACTTGTCTTAATGAGTCTGTCCATTCGAGTAGTCCGTCGGAAAAAAGGTTTTATAGTGGTTTCTGAACTTTTCTTGTCTTGGAAACTATGGAAACTAAGTGCTTGTTTGATAAACCCTTACTAAAATTTTATCAACTTTTCAATTGGTCAAACTTCAATTTTTAACAACACGTTTCATGAGATTTGCAATTTTTATCAATTTTTCATTCATGCATTTCATCAACTTTTATCAAAATACGCTAATTTTTTTATTAAAAGCCTTGGCATAGGCTCTAAATTTTTCAGATTCTTAAGACACCGGCAACCCTGAGGCACTTCTGCTTCTCAAGCATCCAGTTTGGCTGTCGAAATATTTACCTGTTTGTCATTGATTTTTTATTCTGTGGAGTCTAAAGGATTACTAAATTTCACAAGATTGACAAGGTGTAATTTAATTTATATATGTCATGTAATCTCTGAGTTGAGATTTGCTGATCAATTAATTATTAACATGTCATTTTAAATTAAGATGTCATCAATTTGGTGGGTTAGTGGTGAAATTAATGAGGATAAATTTGAGATGATGTGTTAACTTAAAAATGACATGTCAGTAATTAATTGTGTAGACAGCAAATATTGTTCAGCAGATCTCAACTTGTAATCTCTAGTCAACGTGCATGCTGTTCTTGTTCATTTAAGGAGTCGAACTTTTATAGGTCTGGTTTTTGGAAGAAGAGAAGCTTCCAGTTGTCAGTAGCTTGCTCGATGGAGTTAACAATCATAAGATATTGATGGAATCACCATGGGAGTTCCTCCAGACACCTGTTGGTTCTGGAGGCGTTATCAGTTCACTTGCCACACAGAACTTGATGGATCATCTTGCTGAAATAGGCGTGGAGTATATTAAGGTGAGACACGTCATTAAATTATTTTGCATATTTGCTTTGTTACTTTAGGTTTTTGTGGGGGAAATTAAATTTAAAACAATTCTGCCTCGAGCTTTTTGGTAAATTTATCTTTTATGATTTAATCACTTTTGCCTCCCATTAGCAGTAGGGCAGTAGAAGACATTGGTGGCATGGGTTTAGTAGGAGGGTGGACAGGGGCGGAGCTAGAAAAAGATGTAGGGGTGGGCTACAATTTATAAAATTTTCAACTAACTCATGTCATAAAAGTTGCTCAAAATAAGTAAATTTTTACTTCTAAGTATGAATAAGTAACAAGTGAATATATATAAAATTACTTTTAAGCCTCGTCAATCTGTAGCTCTCTTACTGTTTAAATAAGTCATTTATTTTTAACTTTAGTAAAAAAATGATTTATTAAAAAATTTGCTTATTTTATTGGAATGTACTGTTTAAACTTGGTCAAATATAGATGAAATAAAATACCTAACTTGATAACGAGTTTTTCATGTTGCAACAAACGTGAATTATCTGAATGTGTAAATTATATATATAGTACTTAACTAAATTTGGACTATTTATCATTGGACTAGGGCTAAAAATTAAGTTAACTGGGCTAAATTGAATATTTAACTAAATTTGGACTATTTATCTTTGGACTAGGGCTCTAAATTAAGTTAATTGGGTTAAAGTAGAATTTGGGCTAAACTTATACATACAATTTTTATTGGGGTATTAAATTAGGGATGTTTTGAAAAATCATATGAAAATTTTTTAGAAAGTAGAAATTACTGTGTAAAATGAACAAGTGACACAATGTTACTTTTTTATAAAAAAAATGTCAAGTTTTTACTTTTTTAAAAAAAGTGACACAAACTCAAAAAAATGAAAAAGTGACATAATGCCACTTTTTTATAAAAAAATGTCACTTTTTTACTTTTTGTAAAAAAATGACTCAACAAAAGTGACAAAACTAAAAAAAGTGACAAATACCAAAATAACATTATCCATTTGTACAACACCAGTAATCATGTTCTTAAAATAATCACCACGTTCAGACAATTCTATATGCTGATTACGTAAAAAAAAGTGATAATGAAAGTGAGATCTACTGTCACTTTTAAAGTTAAGTGTCACTTTTTTATTAAACATGACATACAATGTCACTTTTATTAAAAATTGACGTTTGTCACTAAAAAAGTGATAGAAATCAAGAAAGTGATTGAAAACAGTGACATATTAAAAAAATGTGACAAACATTGACAAAGATTAAAAAAGTGGCAAACATAAAAAAAGTGACAACACCAATTACAACAATAGATTGAGTTCAATAAAGTAACCGAAAAAAGTGACATAATCAAAGCATGATCAAGTGGCATTTGTCATGGTTATAATTCATTGGAATCAATTCAATAAAGTGACAAAAAAAGTGACATAATCAAAGCATGATCAGGTTGCATTGGTGCATAATTGTGATCTCATTCTTGTATTATCATACACAAATTTGTCGGTTGGGGCTAACCCATTTAAGGCTAATAATGTAAGGCAAAAACAAAACTTTTTATTAATAATAATGCAAGGTAGAAATAAGAGGTAATACTCATGAAAAATGGATAGCAACATTTAAGGCTAAACCATTCTAATGTATGCATTTTCAACAAATAACGATTCAGAACCCATTCTGATTGCTATTCTATTCATTAAAGAATCTCTAATTCACTTATCAAACACTTAAAAAACACTTTCATTAATGTAAGAAGCAAGAAATTAGAGTCCACCACCAGCACCAAAGCCTCCACCTCCACCTCCACCTGTTCCACCACCAGCACCAAAGCCTCCATCTAAACCGGCTCCACTGCCTATACCACCACCACCAAATCCACCACCTCCATCTGCACCTCTTCCCAATCCTCCACCAGCACCAGCTCCATATCCATCATCAACGCCAGGCAAAAATATATGGCAGAGACTTTCATCATAAATGATCGACAAAAAATAGGAGTCGAAGTCCGGTATCAGCGTTAGTGTCGGTGAAGTGAATAAGTCAGTGTCGGAGATTGAAGATGAAACTCTAGCTGCTTATCTACTCAAAACAAGAGGCATACATATGACCTACAAAATTAGAGAGTTTTCTAAGTAAGATCTCTCTAGGGTGAGAATTTTATTGAAAGCATAAACACTATGCAAACATAAGGAGGTGCAAAACTTGATCAGAATTGGACAATTACAAAGATATGGGAGAGCTAAATAAGAATAAAATGATGAACCTTTACTAAGATAACACCGCAAGATAAAAATGACTATAAAATGGATTGGGCCAATTAATGCTAGACAAAGGGAGGCTCTGTCTAAAAATGTAATAACCCACATGTTTTCCTTTAATCAGGAAACCATAATAATCCACATTTAGTATAGGGTTTGGCACCAAGAGAAGGCATTCTATTGCAATCCCTTTTTTGCTTAACAGAGAGGTCATTCCCACAAAAATATGCATAGAAGGCTTTTTCACGAAAAAGTGACAATAATAAATTAAAAAAGTGACAAAAACTTAACAAGAAGTGAACAGAACCATTTATCAAACACAGACACAAAGCAGAGTTCTGGAATGAATCCATCAAGTCAATAGATATAGTGAAGTTTGTCTAGTCCATTATAGTGTTGCTTGAAAATATATCCATACTCATAACTAATACTAAAAGACCTTTCTAGTGAACTCAAGAGAAATCTACAAATGAATGCGATTCTCAGTTTCCTTACTCTTGCTCACAACATTCTGTGCATTTTTGTTGAGTTTTTGTCCGTTTTTAACAAAATCTTTACATAAACTCAACAAAAAGTGCCTTGAGTTTTTTTTTCTACATAAACTCAAGATTCGTGTTAACTTATATATAAAGATCTATATTTTTTCTTCACTATTGAGGAAAGAAGAATACATTAACATAAGCACAACTGAAAATAAATGGAGGAAAAAGTTTCCTATATAAAGGGGAAAAAAATGTGTATTGACAGAGAACGATAAGCAACAAACTAACCTATAATGCTTTTCAATGTGTATGCCTTAATAGTCTAGTTCTCAACTTCTCAAACTCAGAGTGGCAAACTCCCAATTAATCCAAACAAAACTGGGATTTTCATTTCCTCAACGTGTTAGTATCAAAACTATAATTGGTAAAGAGATAATAGTAATACTCAAGTAAAACAAGTTTTGCAAACAGCAGAGTATAAGAAATCATTCACCAAGTAATAGATTGAAGTTTAGTTTGAACTTATTATCACTTTTTATCAGTGTTTAACAACATCTTTACATAAATGTAAAGAACATGCCCTAGCATATTGAATCAAGTGTACAGAAGCATCATAAATAATGACAACAATCATCAACAACAACTAAATTTATTTCACTTCTGCAGTGAAAAATGTTGGCTACCTTAGGTTTATAAGATGTTGATGAAACTCTATTCTTCTTCTTTGAAAATGGTTCTTCACCAATATTTATTTTCATCTTTAACCCACTTCTCCAACCATTATAGAAATATGAGTCGGAGTCAGGTGTCAGAATTGGCGTCAAAGTGAATAAGTCAAAATCGGAGTCAAATTTCTGGATTTTGATTGGAACAGGTTAGCCTTTCGGCTATTTAGGGGTTTTTTTTAGGGTGGATGTTTAAGATCTCCACGAAATGAAAATGAGAAGAGTGAAGATGAACGGAGACGGAGGAAGACGTCGACGAAATTGATGGAAAATGGCCGGAAATGCAGATTTCAGGTTGAGGTTTCTCGGAGATGGAGGAAATCGACTTTGAATAGGGACATTTCTAAGAATGAGGAATGGGTTTCTGTTGGGTTAATTTAGGTTGAGTGAGTTTTAGTTAATAGTTTAGGATTATGACATAATTTTTACTTGATTAAAATGTTATTAATTAGTTTAAAATGTATTAATCAAAATACTTATTTTATAGGATACTTGGCCTAATTTTCCCATTTTTATTTCTTTACATTAGGCTTTCATTTGGGCTGGGGCAGGGCTATAGCCCAAGCTTCCCCCCCGCCACATCCACCCCTGAGGGTGGATTAGATAGCATTAGACGTATTAGAGGAGAAAAAAAAATTAAAATCTTGTTAATCATACCAACCAAACATACACTGGGTGTCCGTGTAAACTTCATTTACACCATTATTAGGCCATTTTAGGTCTTAAATGGGTAGATTTCAAGTTCTTTTTTTTTAACATACAGTGCCATAATGAAAGAATATCACATACGGCTAATAATGTGTTCTTTGCGTGGCGTTTTCTTGCAGGTTTGCAGTATTGATAAAAATTATGAGAATAGTCATACACTTCTTGGCCTTGTTGATTCGTGCAAAGCAAATGTTGGAATTCGACTCTTCAAGGATATGACGTTAGAGGAAAATTTCGACCTGATATTCTCCATAAATTTCATGAAGAGATTGGTGAAGCAGATAGATAAGCTTCAGTTTGATGCTGTTCTTAGTTTAAATTCACACGTGGCAAAGGTTGAAAAGGATTGGATTGATGTCATACCCTCTGCTCCCAACTCTTATGAGTTCAAAAGTTCAATTTACAGTTGCTTGGATGCCTGTCCTCTTAATAAGGTCTGTGTTTTAAATGCTGCAGAGTAATGTAGACATATGTATATTACAATAGCTTCGAAAGCATATAGAAGAAGAATCTTGTACAAATTGCACATCCTTGGTCAATACAACCTACAGGCTACTCTTTACTAACCATACTGTGAGTCATATTTACAAATGAACTGACTCCGTCGTGGATGCTGATTGTACTTTGTTTCTTAACCAAAGTGCAATTTCCATTTGCAATTTATTCGTTTGCTAATTAAAATAATTAGAGGTGTTAGCATTACACCTCCAATCATGCTATAAACATGCATCTCATTACATTTTTCAAGCAGTAAATGAAAAAAAACTATGAAATAATAATTTTTCTGTGGCGCGAATGGTTCCAAGCCTTTGTTCATAATATGTTTTTGGTCTGACCCTTTAAAAAATGGTGCAAATGATCCCAAATATTTTCGTTTTTGGCATAAATGGTCTATTTGGATGAATTTTATCGAAAAAGTCTGTTAGTATAAATTACACTTATAGTCTTAACTTTGACGAAAGCAGTAATCATATCTCTTAACTAATTTTTTGTCTTTGAGAGATTCAAAGTCCTTATTAAGCCTAGCTTTTGACACCCCCTCCTTGGTATTCATCGCTACCCTGTGCTTAGTGACAGATCCAAAAATGTTGGTGAGCTACGATGACCGTCGACCATCAATGATTGTAATAACGAGATTATTTATTAATATTTAATTAATTAATATTAACAATTCTTCAATCAATATATAAATGCACTAAAACATAAAAGTCATATACATATAAAAATATAATCCAATACAATCCAAAATGATAAGAAAAAACTACATGATACAACTTCACTTCGTAACCGTAAGCTCATAGTTGCATTCTCCAGATTCTCATATTTTGAAAGGCTGCAAGATTGTCCCATTCTCATTTTTTTTCAAAAATATTTCACTTCATGTACGCCACCAAATTGTGACTCTCTCTCATTTTCTTGTGTAAGTCACTTTTGATTAGATTTATAGTAGAGAATGCCCTTTCAACACTTGTATCTGCCACTAGTAATATCAAAATCAATATGATGAGCCTATAAACCGATGAAAAATAACAAGAATTTCTTGCTTCAACCAACTTCTGAGTTACACAAGATATGCTATTGAGGTTAAAGAAAATTTTGTCACTTCTTACGTACATAAGAAACTTGTTGAGGTCGGAGTAATATGAGCTTTCCATTGGTGAAGTTCAAAGGATAGAATTGAGCAAGACATAGCAATTTAGCCATGTCAAAAGATGCAAATGAGGCTCTTGAACTCAAACAAGATATTCAATAAAGGAGTTTAGTAGTTGTTTTTCGAAAACGATCATTCAACTTTTGCAAGATTGAATCTATCACATGACAATATAAATCAACATAAAAGTGACGATAATAAGTCACCTGCTAAGCTCCACACCTAAGTCAACCTCTCAATACTACAATATCCTCCATATTGGGAACTACGATATGTCTACCAATACAAAACTCAATCAGCCTGCTCAATAAATTATGCAATCGTTGTCCCTTTTGTTCTGTATGCAACCTTACACAAATTTAATAATGCCATAACATTTTGAATATCTTGATCCTTTCTCTATAATGCTTGTGAAAGATCATCTATAATTGCAAGAATTTTAGACATGAAGTGGAGATAAAACACACACAAACTCGAAATCTTGCATAGTTAGGACTTTTGTTTTAGTTTAAAAAAATGTTTCATAACAATCTATTAACAAACCCCCAAATCACCAAGCATTATTCCAAATTTACAATTTCAATAAATCGCAAATTCAATTTACAAAACCCAAAGTATAGTTTTAACATTACAAACTAAATCACAATACTAAATCACCAATCAATATATATAAAATACCAATTCAAGTTCTAAAAGAAAATAGTCTAGAAATGAATTAAAAGCTTAAAAAAAAGAGAGAATAGAAGAGATGGCTCACATGCGCCAATGGTTGCAAGGGCGTCTGGTGGAGCAATGAAGCTGAAGAAAAGAACGAGAGTCGAGAGAAGAGGGGAGAGGGGGGGAGAGACACAAGAACAATAGGTTTTGGGATACTTTGCAATTTTGAGCATTGTTTTAGAAATGGGCTTCAGAGGATTGGGGAGGAATGGGGCCATTTCAGCCTAGTTTATAAAAAGTGGAAATTATGGCCTTCCAGATTTTTAAACTTCCTATTTCAAAATTCAGATTTACAAGTTTTTATTTCAAAAGTTAGATGATTAAAATTTTAAAATATTAATAATTATATTACAAAATTAAATACACATATTCATTCTACCCAACCACACACCAAAACTCTAATTATTTCATCCTCACCATTTTCTCTCTTCTCTCTCTATGACTCTATCCTACCTTCTCTCTAGCCATCCGTCGTCGTCGCTGCCACCATACCGCCAGCGCAACCACCGCTTGCACCACCTAGCCAACACCACCACTACTAGCACTACCTCACTTCTCTCTATCTATTCTCACATCTCACCCTTTCTCCGTCGTGAAGCGACATGAGAGCATCGGAATGAAGCCTCTCGAAGTCGTTGGAGTGAAGCCGCACAAAGCAACCTGACATCACCACCACCATCACAGGTCGCTATAGGCGACGTTGCTATGTCGCCTCACCTCATTCCCTCTCCCTGTTCTACTCCAGCGAACACTCGCAAGCCACCTCGATGCCGTGTCACAATGTCAATTTGTAGCGGCCTTCACAGGCTGCGAAGCTGGAGTTGTGTTGCACGCTCAGTGGTGAGGTGGTGGTGGTGTCAGGTTAGGTTGCTCGCGTTGCGGGTTACAGGTGACGCTGATGCCTTAGGTGTCGTGGTTACGGCTCTTATCTTTCAACGACGCTATCGTAGATGTGTTGGATGAATAGTGAAGTTTATTGTTTCAATTGCATTTTTTAATTTAGGCCAGATCTTTGTAGTGCTACTATAGAAGCACCGTCACGACGCCCAGATTTGCGCACTGCGATGGCAGTTTGCAGGTCATGGTTGCAGTTGGTATTTTCCTATGATGGGGGTTGTTACTGTGGCTATGGATGAATAGTGGATGTGGTTTTGTTGGTGGAGACAGCGGCGATAGGTCTGTCGAGGTGATGGTGGAACGACATGACGATGTGGTGGTGTTTTTTCTGATGTGTTGATTTGTTTGACGTGGTAGTGGTTCGGCGGCGAAGGTGGCGGTGGTGCTGCTGGAGGGAGTGGTGCGGTGGTAGTCACAAGTGTTAGTCGTGGTCACAAATTATTTGGTTGATTGTGACCATTAAATTGGTTGATCTGTGACCAATGAAAAAGATAAATTATGACTAAGAAATAACGTGACCTAAAAAAATTTTAATTTGTGATTGATAATTTGACAATTTGTGATTGTCTAGTAAGTTGTGACTTATAATATTTGTAATTTGTGATCGATAAATAAATTGTGACGTATAAATTTTTGATTTTGGATTGATGAACATATTGTGGTCTATAAAATTTCTGAATTGTGACAATAACATAATTTGTGAGATATAAAATTTCTGATTTGTGACTGAAATATAAAATGTGAATAATTAAATCGTTAATTTGTGACCTTAATATATTTAATTAATAAAATATATAATTAATTAATTAAATCATAAATAAGTTTTAATTAGTATTTGATTTTTGAAATTTGAAACATCTGTTTTTAGTTTTGAAATGTGTACTACTTAACATCTTATTTATGAATTTTTTCCTTACAAAAATGGTTTTAAAAAAAGGACTGCCAGCTACAAAAGCCTACTTTTTTTGTCACGCCCACAAGAGAAGCCTTTTTTTTTTATATAAAAAAAGGAAAAAGAAATTTATCGCCAATGGAGCCGGTACGAGCGACCATCGAACCTCGTTGGGTGCTAGATCCGTCGGTGTCTATGCTATCAAGAAGAAGGAATTTCGAGACGAAAAGGACCTGGAATGTCGGAAGATGATTGATTATAACATTTATGAAGGGTCAACCAAAACGAGACCTTATTACAGTTTTTGCCACAAAATTATGACAAATATAGAAAAAGCCACGCCACTTTCCCTAAATTGAAAAGCTAAATGAGAAAGATAACTCTACCCTTATAGCCAGTTGCTACAATGAACGTCTTTATCATACAACCTATAGCTGCCATTATATTTACATCCACAACCATAACTACAAACTTTACTATGACAACCATCCTCATCTTCTCTACAAATCACACATCTTGTACAAATGCACTGAAACACCATCAGGGCTACCTCAAGCAGAAGACACAAGATCATACGCATCTTGCCCACCCACTCAATTAAGAAAAATACGTAGTTCATAGACACGTTCATTTGAGGAAGAAATGTGATATAGTTCTTAAGAAAACAATACCTCAAAAGCTAGCTGCTGAAATTGGAGAGCCTAAATCTATATAAATCACACATTGAAAATTCTTATTTTTGATGTTGAATTCAAGTCTCATACATTGTAATGGAAACTGTGGAAAAATATACATGTGCTGTGATATAGGAGATTCTACAATTATTGTATTTCCTGATTTTAGGGAATTAGTTCTGATTTTTCTCCTAAGATTAAAAGATTTTCCGATTTTATTCTTTCCTGGTTTAATTTGATTCTTTCCTAGTTTAGTCTCTACAGTTGTAAATATATACATGTAAACAGTCCTAACTTCGATAATATTGAATTGACAGGTGTCATGGTATCAGAGCTTTAAGCTCTTTCTCTGGGAATTCTATTGATCCTTTTTTCTGGTTCTCATTCCAGAGTTTTGTGAGTTCTTTTCTTCTCTTGTTTATCTCTATTTGATCATCAATAGAGATTCTTCTTTCCACTAGAAAAATTCTCCACTATTTATCTGTTCTTTTTGAGCCATGTCTAAAATCACCGAAGTTAGCCACACATCTGAACTTTAAACAACTGAGACCCAAGCCATAGAGAAAATTCTCTCTACTATTGGGGAATTACCCAATATGCAGGTAGTGTACAAACTAAATGGGAGAAATTATTTGAAGTGGTCTCAACTGGTACGGACACACTTGAAAGGCAGAGGCAAATTGAGTCACTTGCTCGGTACTAGTTCTAAGAGGGAGATCCCAAATATGATGTGTGGGACGAAGAAGACGTTGGAAATATATAATAAAATCTGGAAAAAACTAATGAACT